CTCGAAAAACACCTGCACGACTTTTCAAAATTTCTACCCGCGCGCGCTGTCCGAATCCTAAAAAAACCAATGGTTTTCCAACATTTATGTTACATGAGCTCGCGCGAGCTACTTTCGCACGCTCTTGCAACGGGGTTCGCGCGCCTGCCAGGGGCCACAATCCCTTGCGGTTGCGCCATAGGTTGCGCCCTCGGCCGCCGAGAATAAAACGTCCCCCTATTGGTTGCGCCATAGGTTGCGCCCTCGGCCGACGGTGGGTGGGCGTGCAAGCGCCGTTCCCGCCCCTCCTCTCTCTTCTCTCCTTTCCTCCTTGTCCTGCTCCTCCTCCTCCTCCTCCTCCGGCGGGGGGCGTGAGGATCCGGCATCGCTCACAACCATCGGGACAACCATCGGGACAACCATCGGAACAACCATCGGGACAACCATCGGGACAATCATCGGGACAGTCATCGGGACAACGATCGGGACAAGCACAACCATCAGGACAACCATCGGGACAATCATCGGGACAACGATCGGGACAACCACAACCATCAGGACAACCATCGGGACAACCATCGAGACAACCATCGGGACAACCATATCCTCTCTCTCTTGTGTATTCCCACATCCCTCAGGAATTTGCCCTAAAGATGTGATCAACTATCTTGTGAGTACGTATCATGTGTATCATGTGTATCATGTACCATATGCATCATATGCAACAGATGTTCTGTGGAAGGCTTAACAACTTCTGTGGGTTAACAAGGCTTAACAACTTCTGTGGGTGTACGAACGTAGGCTTAACAACTTCTGTGGGTGTGTACTCCACGCCAGTGTAGTAGCCACGGTCGTCCGCAGGCCACGAAGTGAAGTGTCCGAACGTCATAGGGCGGGAAGCTGGGTGTGGGTGGTGGCGAAGAGTCGTGTGGATATTTGGTAGAGCTTGCACTGCCCCCCCACAAAAGTGGGGGTATTGGCTGGCGTCGCATGAAAACCCTGGCACTGGTGAGAACACTGAGCGTTCGGGTAAAGTGATTATTATTGTTGTTGTTGTTGTTGTTATTGAATTCTCACTTCAAAAGAATAATTATTGTTGATCCCCACCCACTGGTGCATACTTTTTTTTCAATCAAAGTGTGCCCCTCGACGCTCGCACCCTGTTAGTTGACCGGGAAAATCTTCCTGCTCAAACTGGCCCCCTGCCCCCGGGTTGCAACAACAACGGCTCCCGCTTGAAACTTCCTTACAATTTAGCCAGGACCCCCGCTTCCGCCCGAAATTTCCTCGCATTTTATTCAGGAATCGCGCTTTCGCTTGGGACTTCTTAACAATTTATTCAGGCATCGCTCTCCCGGCGCTCTGGAACCGCGCTCTCGCTGGAGACTTGCTTGCAACTTACTGAAGAATGGCCTTGCGTTGGAATTTTCTGCAATTTGCCCAAGCGCCGCGCTCCCGACACCCAGGCACCCAGGAGTCGCGCCCGTTGTGGCCCCATGTGCATGCCCTTCGTGGCCTGCCATCTGTGACCCCGCATGATCTGCACTTCGTGGCCCCCGCTCGTTTGCGCTCTTCGTGGCCCCATACGCAATCCCTTCGTGTCCCTGCGATCGCCCTTCGTGGCCTACTTCGTGCCCTTCGTGGCCCTGCTGTCGTTTTCTCTCGCTCTCGCTTTCGCTCGTCGTCGCCGTCGTCGTCGTCGTCGCCGTCGTCTTCGACGTCGTCGTCGTCGTCGTCGTCGTTGTCGTCGTGGTCGGTCCCTTGTCCGTCCCTCTTGGGGTCGGGTCGACGGTCCGCGGCCGGCCCGCCGATCAGCGCTGCCGTTGACCAGGTCGACGGTCCGCGGCCGCCCCGCCGCTTGCCGGGGCCTGGCCTGCAGGGAAGAAAGGTATACCCCCCAAAAGGGTTTTCGATCGAAGACGCAGAGGGCGGGTATCGAGGGTTTGGGAAATACGCGTTATTGGACACTCGAGCATATGAGGGCGAACGGTCTTAACATTATTATTATTATTACTATCATTTATTTATTTATTTAGTATTATTATTATTATTATCATTGTTATTATTATTATTGTTGATGTTGTTGTTGTTGTTGTTGTTGTTCTTCTTCTTGTTGTTGTTGTTTTTCCTCCCTCTCCGGAGGTGTGTGTGTGTGTGTGTGTGTGCGGGGGGGGGGGAGATATCGGTTTGACTGGAATAGTATGAATTCATATGCAGGATGGACGATGGGGCATAGTCGTGCGCAAATTGCATTACGAAAAGGGGGTCCGTTGAGTTGGGGCGGGGAGAGGTAGATCTAGTACTCCATCAGGAATGAACACATGTATGCGTTACATGTAGTCTAATCCATTTGGTGCAACCGTTGGTGTGCAATTCATTTTGGAAAAACTTGGGTTGCCAGCTCCAGTTTTCGCCCAATCATCCCACCCGCCCACCCGCAACCTGATATGCAAAACCGGCAAAACGGCGATTGCGATTAGTGCTTGGTGCTGGCTGGTGCGTCTCAGCGGCCGCGCCAGCCAGCGCGCGCTCACGCGCATAGCGGCCAGCTGGTTTAGCGTGGCCGACGCGGCCGACGTAGCATTGATTCTGGGCACTTCCCAGCGGGCACTTCCCAGCGGGCACTTCAGGGCGAGTCGGCGACGTGGGCGGGCGAGGTACCAGGGCAATGACGATGGCGATAACGGTGTCTTCGCGTCGGCGATGACGGTTTCGGAAGGAGTTCGACGTGCGCGGGCGGCCGACGCGCTCGAAAAACCCGCATGGTATCATTCCCCCCGCAGCACGCGCGCAACGGCGTGCGAATGATTTCGACATGCAGCGCGAGAGGCACGTTAGGTAGAGCGTGATGCAAATATTGAGGGCTTGTGCTGTTGGACAAAATTCGCGAGAGCGCGATCGCAGTTTTCTTGGTCACGTATGTTGCAAAGCTGTAGGTATGTTGTGTGATTTCGGGGCTCGATTCTGGGTTGCATGTGCGTTTCGTCCCATTTGTTGCAATGGGTTCTTGTGACAGCTCGCTCGCAACAGGTCGTTCGAACGATTTTGACATGCGCGCGCGATGCGTACGTTCGTAGTATTGCCTGAAAAAGCCGGTGATTTCTTCAATATTCACAAGAGCGCGAACGCATGCCTTTTCTCTGTTGTGGAGGAGCCGGTTGCCAGACCTATTGGTGTATGTATGTGTTTCATTGACTCGGTTTGAAATCCAGATGATGGGTGGCGACGCGGCGGCGACGGCGACGACATAGCCGCCAGACCACGTTTGAGGCCGAATTCCTTAGAGGAGAAATTAAAACCCCCAAGTGCTAACACCTTTTTGGGGAATCGGCTTTCGGAAGTCCGCGCGTGACTCCTTCGATCGGCGCTGGGACCCCCTTCGACGCCTCTGACGCCGCCCCTGGCGCGCTGAGGGAGGGCGATGTGCGCGCCAGGGAGGGGGGTCCAGCGCCGATCTAAGAAATCAGCGCGGACCTCCGACATGTGTTTTCCTGTGCGTGCAGCTGTCCCCTATGAGCCCACACGGGCCTCAGCCGAGGCGGCCCAGGGAGGTCTCGCAGCCTGCAGCCGCTCGCACGCCACGCCTGCCATGACGGCCCAGATGGGGCACGCCAAAAAAGCATTCGCCCTCGAGGAACCGAGAGGTTGCCCCTTCTTCCCTGGCGGAAGGGTGCACACCCGACTGGTCTGGCTCGGCATCGTTCGGACGTGTGCATCTTTTCCTAGGCGAGGACTATCGAGGAGCATCTTGGACCATCTTGCGACACAGAAAATCGCACGCTGCCGAAACTGCAACGGGGAACGGACGTCCGAGCGATGGCGAGCAGGGGAGGCTGCAGCACCTCTCAGCGATGTGCTGTCGGCCAAGCCCGCAGGGTGGGCCCTTTGCACTTCTCCGTGCGCCTCCGCTCTGGCTTCTGCCTCGGCGTCGGGCACACTGCGGAGCGCCCCGGGGTGCAGCTCGCCCGAGTCGGCATTCTCCGCTCGCGCGGGTGCCTCTCCTCCCCCTCCTGGGCGGAGGGCGGCGACGCCAGCGAACGCCGGGTGGAGGTGGAAAACTAGGTAACGAAGCATGGCATGAACATAAAAACTCGGAGGTCCGCGCGGATTTCTCGGATCCGCGCTGGACCCCCCTGGCGGCGCCTCCGGAGCCGCCCCTGGCGCGCTCCGCGCGCCAGGGAGGGGGGTCCAGCGCCGATCCGAGAAACCCGCGCGTACCTCCGATTTTTTTTGTTTATGCCATTATTGATTTCCCCATTCCTGCAGCCGCTTCTCGTTATTTAAGCCATGCTTGATTTCCTCGTTCTAGTTATGACATTTTTGTATATAAAAAAAAATTATATTCCCTATTTTCTCTTTTCCATGATTTATGCTCTTTTGATGCTTATTTTTATCATCCTTCGTTCTCCCAACAAGCGGGGGCGGCTGCGCCAGCGGAGGGCCCAGTGGAAGGCCAAAGCGGAAGTACGCGAGGAGGCCCCCCGTGAGAAGCGGCCGCGCGCGTTTGGGGCTCGGGTTAAGTCGGGCTAGTCAAAAAATAGTCTGGGGACTGTTTTTTGAGTTTTTTTGGGCATCTCTTGAGTATTTCTTGGGTATCTTTTATTTCTTGGCCAAAATCGGCCTGTAGGGGGACAGGCCCGACTTGAGGCTCGGGGTCGCACGATCCAGATCGCAAGAGTCTGGCGCCTCCGCGTGCCGGCCTGCTGCTCCTTCTTCAGGGACGTGGCCGAGTTCTACACGAGCGAAATGGGCACGGAAAGAATGGGTACAAGGCCCAACAGCAGTTCCTGTTCATTTTGAACAGGGCTCGCTGTTGGTGTCGCCGCGGCCTGTGTCCATTTGAGATAGAAGGCCGCCTGTCCAACAGCCACCGCTCTTGGTTTGGGACAACATTTGCTGTTGGGCATTGTGCCCATTCTTTCCGTGCCCATTTCGGGCGTCCAGACGAGTGTGTGTTCTGCACGTCCTCTCTTCGAGCTGCTGGTTGCTCTTCTCCCCGCGCGGCTCGCCTCCACCACCAGGAGGACAACGGTGCATCCAGCGCGGGCTGGGATTATCGAGCGCTCCAAGCATTCCTGGAGGAAGCAGCTCAGCCGGTTGAGGACTGCGCGTGTTGCTAGCGTATGGCCGCTCATGTATTGTCAGTCGCGTGCGCATTCGAGTACAGGTGTGGATTTTCTTTCGTTTCCAGCCGCATGGCTCTCATTTTGCACCTGCGCGTGGTTGTGCATGTGTCTGATCGTTTCCCTCGTGCAGGCTTCGGGTACTCAGAGAGGGAGCACACGCAAACTCGTGAAGCTGCTCTTCAGTCCTGGACCAGCGAGTAGCGTATGGCTTTCAAGAATCGGGGGAGCGTAAGACCCGGGTTTGCCGGGACTCGGGTTCACCACCGTTTTTTGACGACCGCGCCTCGGATTTTGACGAGGAGGAGTTTCGTGGGATGTCTGCAGCGGGAGGCCTCGTCAAAATGCAGGCTCGGCCTCGTCATTTTTTTGACGACCTCGTCGGGGATTTCCGAGTCCCCTGTACCCGGGTCTTACGTCTCCCCGATCAGAGAGGGAGCACGCAAACTCGTGAAGCTGCCCTTCAGTCCTGGGCCAGCGAGCAGCGTATGGCTTTCAGGAAGGCGGCCCCCGCTGCACATGGGCAGCCGCGCCGTCCCTCGATGCGACCGCCACGCTCTGCCCCCGTGCCTCGTGCCCGAGCTTCGACTCGGGGGAGAAGGAGGCAGGGAGAAGGAGGGGGGAGAAGGAGGCAGGGAGAAGGAGGCAGGGAGAAGGAGGGGGGAGAAGGAGGCAGGGAGAAGGAGGGGGGAGAAGGAGGCAGGGAGAAGGCGGGGGGAGAAGGAGGGAGGAGAAGGTGACCCGTGTCCCGTCGCCGCGGAGTCACGCACGAGCGCAAGTTGAATTGACACTCTGCCTTGTCGACTTCCCGAAGGCACCTGTGTCGTCAGTGGCGACATCGGCGACGACGGTGTGGCGACGGCGGCGGTACGGCTGCGGCGACGGCGGCGACGGCAGCGAGAAGTCGCGGGGTGAGCGCCCGCCGTGCCAATGTGGGTCCAGAGCGGCGGCATGTGAGAGCGGCAAGGGGATCGCGGACTCAGCGACGGCACACCGAAAGTCATCCCAAGCAACGGGAAGACGCCCCTCAGTGTTCAATGTTGGCTGCCAGGAGTGTAAGCCCCGGAGACATGGGGGAGAAGTGGCACTCAACGTAGATTCGGGGGGCGTGGTGGGGGCATCGCACGTCGCGTGGCCGCAACTGTTGCATGTCATAGTTGCGTTCCGTTTCACATGCCGCCATTCTCCTTCCATTGCGTTTACGATGCCTGTTGCTGACTGGCAGTCGTGCGACATGGAAGATGACGGCGACGGCGACGGCATCATCCGACGGGGTGGCGCTGACGACGACGACGACGACAGGGACGGAGATGGAGGTTCGGACGCAACTCCTGGGAGGTCAAATTCTGATTTTGCCCTGGTCCGAACTCCGGCTTAATCCCGCTTAATCCCGCTTAATCCGGATGAATCCCGCTTAATCCGGCTTAATCCCGCTTAATCCGAGGCCCACTCTTGCGTAAGAGCCCCCCAATGGGGCTTAATCCTCCTTAATCCTTCCGACGAAAACCTCCCAGTAGTTGCCTCCTAATGGAGGTGGCGACGGCGGCGGAGACATCGTTGCCAAGCGTCAGCCTTGGAACCTTTTCGATGCTATCGAAGGGCCTCCGGGCAGCAGCAGCTGTCTTTGATGGGCCGATTTTCCACCACCACTACCATATGTAGGTAGGAGAGGGAGGAGGAGAAGGAAGAGGGGGACAGGAGGAGGACCTCCCCATCCTCCCTTCTTCCCCGTCCTACATATGGTAGTGGTGGTGGAAAACTGGCCCATCAGTCTTGGATGCCGTGGCGCGGTCCTCCCAGGAGCAGCCTCCAGATGGGCCAGATGGCGCCGGCCGTGGCCTCAGCGCGCAGGCAAGGGCGGGTGCAGCGGTCTCCTGCTGCATATTTTTGTTCCTGGTTCACGAGCAGTGCCTCCTCCCCCTCCTCCTTCCCCTCCTCCTCCTCCTCCTCCTCCTCCTCCTCCTCCTCCTCCTCCTCCTCCTCCTCCCACTCCCCCTCCTCCTCCTCCTCCTCCTCCTCCTCCTCCTCCTTCTCCTCATTCTCCTCCTTCTCCTCCTTCTCCTCCTCCTCCTCCTCCTCCTCCTCCCACTCCCCCTCCTCCTCCCCCTCCTCCTCCCCCTCCTCCTCCTGGGCTTCGTGCCAAAGCTCTGCAGCACGCCCTGCAGTTCCGGAAGCTGCGGGCCGCTCGGCACGGCGCGCCTTTTCTATCGCGCCGCCGGTGGCGGCGGCTCCGTGAGGTCCCCGCGGGTATGTGCTCGAGGCTTCGGCTTTTTTTGTGCCGTTGGGGGCAGGAGGAGGAGGAGGAGGAGGAGGAGGAGGAGGAGGAGGAGGAGGAGGAGGA